TACGGAGTATGGACCAAAGGACATGACTTATGTTCAACGGTGCATATGGTAATATGATGTTTTGCTCATAATATCGGAGAGACTGGGTTGCGATGACACTGAGTCAGCGGGCCGAGTCGGTGCGCGCCCGCGGGCCGAACTTAGGCTCGGTGTACCGTGTGTACACAATGCACTGGCAGTATGCAGTGTGCAGCACTGTGCAGTGTGCACATGTGACATCCATGTTGGCCCGGGCCCCCGATCGGCGATCACCCCACCTTCCGTACGTAACGTACGGACGCGTCTTGCCGCATGCGACCGTCGACGCAAGCGCAACCCGATCCGCCAACTGCCGGCCGGCGATTTTTCCACCGGTGGTCTAATTGTTGCCGGTCAGTCGTCCGCTTGATTAGAAGCAGGAAAGTTCCCCGGCAATTTTGTTCCACTGGTACTCAGCGGATTGCTGCGATCGGGGTAAACCAGCAGGACATTTGGTAGCAAATGTACTACCGTATCTGGTACCGGTATTGGAGTTAAAGTACCGTTCGTACAAACGGTAGCATTGAGCCGTGACTCGCGAGCGGGCTTCAGCCTTCAATGATGTGCATTGTGCACACTGCCCGTACCGGTAGTACTGCCTGTAGTATACCCGGCCTTGTACTGCGTCGACGTACAGGTCATGCAACTGGGATGATGGTCGACACTCCCTCTGAACTATTACGTTTATACTTTGGAGTTGAGATTTGCAGAAGCTAGACTGAGAGGGGAGCTAGATTGTGCTGCAGCACGTGATGGTGCAGGCGCTGGCAGCGGTAGCTGGCATTGGACGTCTTCAACTTCCCTTCAACTTCAACTTACGGGTTGCAATTTTGCAAGGGATATACTAGCTGGCTTCCGGGCTGTCGATATCGTTGATCAGCAGGTGAGTGATCAAAGAGCCTGAGACCTCCGCTTCTTGTGTGTATAATGCAAGAAAAGTCTTCATTGTGTTGTCGCCATTCCCAAAATTCTGACCAGGCTGGACTGCATCTTTGTTGGGTATCCTTCAGCAATGAGGTCGCATTCAATCTCATTTTGTGAAGGGTGGATGGAACTCAGACGCTAGCTGCCCTGGTCGCATAGGATTCCAATCTGTGCAGCCTAAGTTTGGTCCGCTTGCGCTGCTCTGGTTGCGCTGGAGCGCAGCTCTGGCTGCGGTGAATGCTGCCAATCTGGTTGTTGAATCGTCACCAAATGGTAGAGATAAACTGACTGCCCTAACCTGAGAGTTGACGTTCTGGCATACAATGAACCAGATCTGCAAAGTAAGTTTTCACAGCCATAGCTTGAAAGGCTGCTGTCAAATCTTGGTCGCGTAACATCAATGCGAAGGAGAGCGCTTGCTTGGGGAACAGGTTATGTGTCGTGTAGGAAACATATTCTGTGGATGCATATTTTGCTATGGACTTTGTCACTTTGGTTTCTCTCCTGTGACCTCATCGTGTTTTCTTCACAAGCGGCGTCTTGATTCAGAAAGCATGCCCCCTGGAACCCTTGGACATTGCATTGTATTGAGAATGTTGTGCATAAGTCCTTACCTTGGTGTTTGACATTAGCTAGCATGCCTGCATTCATCCTTTGGATCGCTACATTTGGGGCGGGCGCCGGCGTATCTAAGAGAGCAGAGACAACTTAAGAAGAACAATTGGCAGATTATAAAATCTCATTGCAGGATTGATGGCTGATTCCTCCTTGGATATCTAATCTTTGCGGGCATGTCAGGGGCTGCAGGTAGCATTGCCTCTGAAAGTCATGGGAGTGTTCCTTACACAGACGAGTCTGGTTGCTCCCCAAAGTACAAGGAGGGCCTGCGGATCTGAGCTAGTCTTACCATGTCATTAACTTGCCATCTCTGCTTGAGTGCACAACTTCTGTTTCAGCGTCTTTGATTGCTACAAAGCTTGTCCAGACCGATCAGTTGGATGTGGTGAAGGATGTAAAAGACTACCTCTGAACGTTGTAGTAAAAGGCCATTCAATACCGCAATAGTTCTGACTTAAAAAGCCCTTTTGAGGATGACAGCAGCACTACCGAGCACATCCACGTTTAGCACCTCCAGCTTCCACAATTTGTTAAAGCCTCTGCAGACTGCACAGAATCTGCTGGTTGGTCTAGAGACTGTCATTTGAGACATGGGCAACTGTCAGACTCCTCCAAGTGGCCTCAAAAATTGAGCACTCGGTTACTATAGAGACATTCCACCAAACAACAGACAGTGGTCAGATGGCAAATATCTAAACATAACCAGTCTGAAGATATTGGTTACCGTGACCATCTGAATGTTAGAAGCTGCTGATCCATTCCATCTTTCCTTGCAGTGTTGAAGGCGTTCCTAGTTCCTTCATTTCTTTCTTGCTGGAGTGGCTGGCGCCCTGGCTCTATGCGGCTCCTAGAAGGGCGGGCTTTTACACCCATAACAAGCAGAACCTAGCGACAGCAGATTCCGCTAGGTGAGGTGAAGCGCGCCATGCAGTTCACAGGCTTTTGATGCTGGAAAAAGTGTGTACCAAGTGATATGCATTATGTAGGCACAAGCTCTTGATGTGCGACTCTAGAACACCGAGCTCGTGTACCTGACTAAGCTGCTTTGTAAAGTGAAGTCCTCACTCGACTCAGCACTTTGATATGTAAGATCCATAGGACTTGGCTATCCTGACCCTGCAGCTGTGAAATTTTGCACCGCAGTGATTGGGGCAAGAATTGAGTTGTCCTGGCTTGCTTGAAACTTGATGGCACTGGAAGGAACGATGGGATAGAACGGGCGCTTGTCTGGTGTGCCGCTTATCAGAGCCGGCAACCGCCTCACGCGAGTCTATGCTGGTTGTGCATGACTCAGGGTTTCTTGCAAGCCAGAGTAAGCAGTAAGCCAAACAAGTCTGCTGAATATGCAGAGACTTTGGGGGATCTGCTGTTCCCGAGCTTACCTTCATAGAACCATCGTACCTTGTATCTGCAATCAGTAAGGTGAGTTCTTGAAGTGCATGGGGCGCGGCGCCTAGCTCTTCAGTGCAAAAGACAACGAATAAGATCGATGCGAGTGTAGGGTGGTGAAATGCAACCAATCTATAGAAAGCAGATTCAGTGTGCATAATTAATCTGGACAAGTTTCACGAGTCACGACTCTGTCTTGGATGATGACTGATCGATCGCCTCTTTGAACTTCAGCTTTAGTCAGTGGTACAGCTCCGCCCCTGAAGTCCTAATCCAGTCCGTGAGATAAAGCCCAGCATAAAGATGCTGTTCATTTTAAAGGCGCAATGCACGCATTGCGGAGACATCGTTGATCGCGGCTGCGAAACAAACCCCGTCAAGCACGTTCCGTCACAGTAATTGAGTTCTCTGATCGGACTCCAGAGAAACTTTTACGGTCTCGTGGGTGCATCCGTGAGATTGAGACGCATTACCACGAACCTTACAGGAAGCCAGCGACGACGATGGAGGACGCGCACGAGGTCATTCAACAAGTGGCGGAGTATGGCAAGGAGTCCGTGGTGGTGGCGAAGCAGCTGTGCCACGCCATCGACATGCTCTACAAGGCGGTGGAAGCAGCAAAGCAGGACGACCGGGAGTGCCAAGAGATCGTCACGACCATTGTGTGCGGTGCGCCAATCATTGAGGCGCTGCTACTAGAGGGGCGGCGCGGCAGGGACGAACGCATCGAGAAGGCGATGACAACGGCCCTCAAAAGCGCCGCGGGGGCCATCGATGTGGCGTGCTTTGCTGTGTACTCGTGGCTCGCTAAGAGCGGGTTTGCTCGACTCGGCTCGGCTCAGGGCATGGAGCCGAAACTCCGACACGCTTGGGAGTTTCTCAGAAATCGCATGGACGACGTTCAACGCCTCCAGGTGCACATGATTTATGCGAAAACGAACGAGGCGGTGAGCGAGCTGAGGGCCGTGCACGCCGACATCGCCAAAGTGGTCGACGAGCTGCGCCGCCTTGACGCCCGAACGACGTCGTCAGCATCGGACGCGGGACGCACTACGCTGCTCGCAAAGGCCGTTGTGGCGAGGACCGAGAAGGGGGGCCAGCGTCTGAAGGGCCACACCGGCGAAGTGTACAGTGTCGCGTGGAGCCCAGACGGGCGGAAGGTAGCGACGGGGTCAAGCGACTCAACAGCAATCATATGGGACGCAGCAGTGGGGGAGCCGCTGCGCAAGCTGGAGGGTCACTCCAACTCCGTTCGAGCCGTCGCGTGGAGCCCGGATGGGCGCAGAGTGGCAACGGCGTCGT